CTTGAACACTGCCAGGGTTGGGGCAGCCACCACATCCCTGGGAAACCTGTTCCAATGTCTCACCACCCTCACAGGAAAAACTTTTCTCCTCACATCCAACCTAGACTTCCCCTCCTTCAGTTTAACCCATTACACCTTGTCCTGTCATTGCAGCTCCTAACACAGAGTCTCTCTTCAGCTCCTTGTAGGTCCTTCAGATATTGAAAAGTTGCTCTGAGGTCTCCACACAGTCTTCTCTTCTCCAGGCTGAACAGCCTCAACTCCCTCAGCCTGTCCTCACAGGGGAGATACTCCAGCTTTCTTGTCAACTTTGTGACCTCCTCTGGACTTGCTCCAACAGTTCCATGTCCTTCTTATGTTGAGGACACCAGAATTGCACCAGGACTTAAAATACTTCCTTTTTTTCAAGCAAAGTGTTGCAGTGTTGAATTAATTAGTTTAAAGTATACTTCAGAATCTTTTGAGGGAAGACAGTGTTAGACCTAGGTCATTGTATTGCAGTGAGGACATTGAAGATGGGCCTTTACTGAGCTTTTATAGCTAGACAAAAGATGATAGCCAGGTATTGCATAAGTTAATTCAGTCTAGTAAATCAGATTCCCTTTGATAATGCTGAAAATCTTTATCATCTTTACGTGCTGTATTGTAGTCTTTAACATGTGCTGTTCATGGTTGAACAGCTGATTTCTAGTGAGTTAGCCTTGACAACAACACAGTGGGACGTGACATGTTTATTTCTTAGTGTGTATCAGCTCAGAGGAACTGAATTAGTATTTCTCAAGCCTCAAATATTTGAATTCCCATGTTGCAGGTCATTAAGCCATGAGACTGTAGCAAATCAGGTGCAGAACGAGCTGGCACTTGGAATGAAGTCATATTTAATCTGAAGTTTAGGCCATACATTTATTCCATATTTGATTTTTAATCAGTTGGAATAAAAACCAGGGGAGTCAACGGCATCTGCACATTCAGATTTCAAAGTGCCTCCTCCGGTGCAGCAGTTTTGGTGCAGGAAATGTACAACCTTCAGTTAACAGGAATGCTGTTCCCACTCCAAATGTCGCTGTTCCTCTCCTCCCAGCTAAAAATAGGTAGAGGACAAATACTTGCCCGCTTTTCTATTCCAGATTTTGTTACTAGGAATCTCTTCTTGTGTTAAACTAAAACTTCCTTATGTTTTGAAATAGAAACTCCATATGTTTTGAAATAGTATTTGTTCTCTGCTATTTGTACTTGTGGGTTTCTTCTTTAGTGTTGAGATGCTGTGCCCACGTAGAGAAGGAGAGAAGTGGTGTTTACAGTACTTCTCATGTCTTCCCTACATCGATTGCACAATGATTTCTTGTACTGTGTGAAAAGTCTCTGCCAAGAAAGAGGATTTTACAAACCCTGGAGAGTTTATACTCCCAGGCTTTGTCATCACCTCGAAACTCCCCTAGCTGAAATCTTAATTCCTGGTGGACAAGTTCACGTCTCTACAACTTTTAGGACAGTTCTCCCTGCTACTTCAGGTCTATCTTAGATTGCAAATACCAATCTGCATTGTCACACATCTCTATAGTCACAGATTGCCACTATTTGTGGACCATCTGTTCGGGTCTGTATGAGAAGAGTGGATCTAGGAGTCTCCATAGTAAGATGGTCTGCTAGAGACACTTTGGAGAGGTACCTTTCTAGTCCCACCATGCATTCCTTCTATTTCTATCTGTCTTTTTGCCACTTAGAGAGGATGGAGAGATAGAGAAGCATCCTGTAAGGAGACTTCAGGGAGTTGCCTGTAGAGGTGGGCAAAGGCCACCTGCTAATGACAGAGACTGTTTTGAGAGGAGTTCTAACAAGATGGTTTGAGGCACTAAGCAGCTCAAGAAAACTGGCTCTGGCAGGTCCATCTGGGTGTTTGGCCTGAAACTTGGAGGAGCAGTAAGCTCAGGTCAAATGTATAGTGAATATCCGTTTGAATGCTGAGCAGAGTCTTTCCCTCCCAGGAGAAGGAAAACATCTGGAGACTTGTCTGGAAGCCTGAAAAATCCACTGGCTAGAGAACAGGGTAGGTGTAGAAGAGGAACATGAAGAATGCTCACTATGCTGTTGAGACAGAGGTTATCCAAGAGCTTGGGCCAAGGGAATACAAGTATTGCCAGTAAATACTGTTTTCCAAGGGAGTTTCCAATGACTGTACTCCAGTGACTGTACTCCCAGAGCATCTGGGGAGAGTGAATATAGAGGCATATGACTCTGATTATTAAACTGGTTTTAGTTTCACAAGATGAAGCTAGTATGAAGAGCAAATGTGTGCCCAGGGACTAGTGACTGTTTTCAAAATCAGATTAGTATTAGTCAACAGGCAAACGCAGAAGTGTATTTGTTCACGTAAGAGTTGTTGCAATGTCTTAGGCAAATAGCACCTATTTTGAATGGGGTTTTTTTCCCTTTCTTTCAACTTGGAAAAATGAGAAACTTTACAAAAAACAACTTCCAGTGTGCTGGGGATTGATGCTTTGAGGTGTATCTTTCCTGTGACCATATCTTCTCGTGGGTTTCATCACATGTTCATTTACCAGGTGGCACAAGGAGGATTTCCTATCCCTTCCCTCCTGCAGCCGTTTTGTTTTGTTTTGTTCTTACAGCTACAAAAGCTCGTGGTGACAATGTGGTAATGTCTCCTGCTTTCTTTCCATTACCCTTGCCAGTATCGCGGGGTCAGGTTTGCAAGACAATGGAGTTCAAAGCCAAACCATTATCACTCCTGTCCTTGGGGTCACGTTACCTGTTTGACTGCCTACGGTGGCACAGGGGTGGTCTCAGTTTCTTTCAAACCTCTTTGTCTTTCAATGAGGCTTGTTAGCGTTCTTGAGTGAGATGTTACTGGACGAACTGCCGATGCTGACAGTTGCTTTAGCAAGAAAATCCAGTCAGTCAAATCTCTGTGTGTACTATTTGTACTTTATCAGTAATGGTCTGGGGGTTGGGGGGGAATGAGACAAAATAATCACTGGTAATTGGAAATAGGTTTTTCACGTTTGTTTTTCTTGGCTGCCTATTTCTCTTCTTAAAACATATTTGATATGTTGCAAATTTAATGGAACCTGGAGATTATGATGAGCACCTTTGTTATTCTTGTCGGGCACATGAATACCTAAGTGACTTTATTTACATGTAATTCTGCATGTGAACTGCTGGCTGCACGCTGATTTACAGTAAATAAAGGCAAATGGGGTCACTGAGTTGTGTTTTATACCTCACAGTGGTACTGTTCTTGCATGGTTTTTATCTTGCATGACAATGGAATATGTTTGTATTAGTCTACGTATAACATGTCCCGTGGTTTATGCATGCTGCACTAATCTCTGTGTTAAATCTGTCCCCTCTTTATTCAGAGCATGCTGTCTCGGTCCTTTAATTCCAATTATGCTGCAGTTAGCAGCTTTCACTATGGCAGCTCTAGGGATCTGCATGGCAGCCAGGGTAGTGTTGCCTTGAGTGTGGCAGACGGAAGAGGTTCTGGTGTGCACATTGTTCGAGTGAGTACCTACAGGAGGTTATTGCAATGCATAGAGGGGGAGAGAATAAACTGTCAGAGGGGTCCTTAAGCTGGTGGAGTTATCCTTTTACCTATGCACAATGCTTTAATGAAAGTAATGTCATTTATGTGTGTAATTTGGTTTTTAGGCGTTAAATACTTCGCCTTCACTTCATGAGCCTTAAACTTGTCACAAGGCTTTTCAGTTTAATGTCATGAAGTTGAGTTTTCTAAGGGGCTTTTGTAGATGGTTGAACATAGGTAAAACTGGTTTCATTGTACCTATGTGAACAAGAGATTACCATTCTGAATTTAACCCAGGTTGGTAAAGGTTTGAATAAAATCTTACTATGCCTTTTCCTCTCCCAAAACAAATTCTGGTGATGTAAATTGCACTGTAAGGTCCTATGGGCATTCCAGAAAATTATTAGTTTATAAGGAAACGTGAGGAGACGAGTTTTTAACTTTTAGCACCCTGAGTGTTGCTCTGAGTATCCATAGTGAGCAGGATAAAGTCAACAGAAGACTCTGTTAAATCATAAAATCATAAAGAATCTGTTGAATCAAAAAACGTAAAGAGTTTGTCCCTGTGTTAGCATCTGTTGACTTCTCTGACCAGTTTGCTGGTGATGAAAGACACCTCTGCAGCTGTGAGTTTTTGTAATATCCATCAATATTTTATGGGTTTAATGGTGTCTTGTCTAGTAAGATTTTTGACAAAAACAATGTGCTTAATTAATCAAGAATAATAAATAATGATAAAGCCCTTAAAATGTTTTATCCTGGGCTGCTTACGAGAACTGTTTTGTTTGAATTGCATGAAGACATTTGTCTTTACTGCTCCATTCTGTTTGAAGCATCCCCAGGCTGCTACTCCAGGAGACCAATGCCAGGATGAAGTATTCCTTTCAGGACAGCAGAGTTACTCATCTGCCACACTCAGCCTCAAAGATGTTCCTCCAGACAGCATGAAGAAAATGGCTGTGCAGGTAATTATCTGCATGTCACCAGGGACAGGATACATTGGCTGTTACCTGTGAAGATGCATTTTTTTTATTGGTAGCAGAAAGATACGTTGGGATAGCAGTTGGAGCTTAGCCTTCTTTCAGATGTCATACCCAGAGGTCAGAGGTGGCACAAGTGGGGAGACAAAACTCTGTGGAGGGAGATAGATGGTTCTTTAGAAGGTCTAACCAGCTGCAGATTGTTTTACTGAATCACCTGCCACATTCCAATTTCCACTTGCAAGTCCTTGTTTGGCTGCAAGTTTCTTCTTTCAAAGAACCTACTTAAGAAAAATAAGAACTGACTTGAAATCTGTTGTGATGAAGTTGTGATGTTAAACCAGAATTCGTAGGAGATGTTCTGCATTCGTCTCTCAGCACCATCAATGGAGACAGGACTTACTGCAGTAAAACAAAGTGGGTGGTTGTAATTGTTGTGATGCAGCAATTAATTTTATCTTTATAACCTCAGTAGTTGCAGTCACATTTGGGCAGACATTGGATGTTGGGAATTTGCACAGCTGTGGACACATTTTGCCTGTGTAAACTCTACATCTGGCAGTGCAACAGGAAACAGTTTTCCTGTCATTTTTTTTCCCCACAAAAGGCAGTGGGAAAATGTGTAAATTAAATACACCTGATGTGTAAATAAGCTAAGAAATGTATTATGAACCCACATTGTCATTTCTCAGAATCAGTTTGGCACAAACTTGTCACAACAGAACATTCTGATGTGTGTCCAGCTTACATGACATGGTTAAAGGTTGACATTTGCACACTTACAATACTGGGAGAGGAGTATTTTAATGTCCTTGTGTCCTGTAACCAATGGAATAATGGTGGCAGGTAGTGTAACCCAAGCCTGTAGCAGTTTTGGAATGTGGGACTCATGGTCTCATCCATCACAGTTAGTCACTCCCTCACCTGTGTGAGGCATATGGGTGAGGAGGGAAGAGGTTGCTCCTCCCAGCACAGAGCTGCGCAGTGACTGAGGCCTCAGCAAGAAATGCTGTCACCTCCAGCATCATTCCTGGTGATGTGGTTTGAATGCACTGTGTCTCTGGAGAGTTATGTACCTTCTACTCCTGGTCATCACTGTACCTGTCAAGTCAGTGATGTGTGTTAACAAAATCACATTTGTTGGAAACACCATTGCAGTTTTGATTATTAAACTCTTGAGCTTGGCTGTGACCTTGCTCAGAAGGTTTCCTTGTGAAGAGGTCACCACAAGAGGATTGGAGAGCTGTAGTTTGTCTGCTAGCTGTGGAGGGGTTATTTTTGTGTGACCTACTGGAAATTGTAACAACATCTCCGAACTTTATGCAAGAAAAGTGCAAGCTCTAAGGATATCAGCCAAGTGTCAGTTGCACTGCCAGAAAAGTAATGTTTGGGAGAGCTCAGTGAAACAAATGCTAAAAGCAAAGGCTGTCAAGTCTGTTCTAGTAGATTAGCACTCACACTGAGTTTTTGTTTTTCACATTTGTTCTCAGTAGGTCAGAGCCGATAACTATAAAGAAAATGGAGTACAATTGTACATGATCCAGAACAGTAGTTTCAATAGCATTCCTGAAAATTAAAAGCAGTCAAGTATGAGAAGTACTGAAATGATGGAGGAGTTGAGAATTGCTGCTTATGAAATATATAATGACTCTGAATGTTCATGTTTTACTCAGATACCTTTGACAAATGGACAAATGTGCCAACCTCAGAGACTTCAGGCAAACTACAGCCAAGTCCATCATCTCCCTCCTCAGTCCTCAGTAGCAAGACATCCATCTAGAGAGCAGTTAATTGATTATCTGATGTTGAAAGTTGCCCACCAACCTCCCTACCCCCAGTCCCAGTGTTCTCCCAGACAAAGCCATGAGCTGGCAAAGCAAGAGGTAAGAATAAAATCTCACTTGACAATATGACATCTGTCAGTGGCAGTGAATTGTTAGATTGTCTTCATTTATTATCATTTCTCTGTGGATGGTGACAGCAATCATGTAGGGATTTTTCTCCAGCAGAAGAAATTGCTATCTCAGTGCATTCTGCTCCTCAAATCACAGATTCCTTCCAGTTTGGAGCTCTTTTTACTTCTCATGTGAACATTTTAAGAGACAAATATGGTAGATTTTTAACAGAATGTACCAGATACTAAAACTTGCATCTTTTTGCTGAGCTAGAAATTTAGTTCTCAACTACATTCATTGTTCAGCAGCTCATTATTTAGCTAGTAACTGAAAAAACCACAAAGTAGCAGTACAATATAGAGTACTTTGCAGCTAGAATGGTTCAAAAAGCTGCAACTGTAGAAATGTGCATCCGTAAACAAAAAGGAAATACTGAGAACTACATTTTCATTCAGTGCTAGGATGAGAATGTCAGTGTCTTGTGTAAAATATGTTTTCTGGTCAACTCTTCTAGCAAGAGAAGGAGGACACATTTTTGGGTATGTAGAACAGAGAGAACGCGGGAATGAAAAAGTAGGATTTTTGAGAAATCCTGGCAGTCAGGTGAAGTCCCTAAGGACTGGAAAAAGGGAAACATAACCCTCATTTTAAAAAAGGGCAAAGCAGAAGATTCAGGGAGCTATCAACCAGGGAGTCTCACCTCTGTGCCTGGTGAGATCATGGAGCAGATTCTCCTGGAAGCTGTGCTTAGGCACGTGGAAAGCAAAGAGGAGATCAGTGATAACCACCATGACTTTACCAGGGGCAAGTCAAGTCTGATGAATCTTGTGGCCTTCTGTGATGGGGCCACAGAATTTGTGGATAGGGGCAGAGCAACTGATGTAATCTACCTGGACTTATGCAAAGTACCTGACAGTGTCCCACACAAAATCCTAAACTGGAGAGAGATGGATTTAATGGGCGGAGCACTTGGGGGATAAAGAACTGGCTGGATGGTCACACAGAGAGAGTTGTGGTCAGTGGCTCATTATCCACGTGGAGCCAGTGAGGAGTGGTGTCACTCAGGGGTCAGTGCTGGGGCTGACGTCTTTGTCAGCGACATGGACAGTGGGATTGAGTGCACCCTCAGCAAGTTCAGTGACCACACCAAGTGTGTGGGGCAGTCACAGCTGGAGGGAAGGGATGTCATCCAGAGGGACCTTGACAGGCTGGAGAGGTGGAACAACGCAGACGTCATGAGATGATCCTTAAGGTGGATTCCAACCCTTAAAATGCTATGATTTTTAAAACTCATCTGGAGGTATCAAAGAAAGAGGAGGAACAGGTTCTTTGACAGGAGCAGCTATAGGTGCTGTGGGCATTGAAGTAATTCACATAACATCGAGATATCCCTGAATTTAAAGGCCATGTGAACTGTGGCTATGTAACAGCAGTACTAGGGTAAAACCTAGGGACAATGAGACGTGATGCTGTTATATATATCTTGTCCTGCATTAGTATTGTGAGGTATAATACTTTCTTGAAATACTGTATTTATTTATTTGTTACTTTTTAAAGCTTTTGTAAATAGCTTTTGTGAAGCTGTTAGCTGAATTCCTCAGTAGTAATTTCAGGACAGCAGCTTTGAATGCAGATTTTCATCCTGTTCATCTAACTTCGGTTGTTCCTCTTCAGATTCGAGTGAGAATTGACAAGGATCCAGAACTTGGATTTAGTATATCAGGAGGAGTTGGTGGTAGAGGGAATCCATTCAGACCAGAGGATGATGTGAGTATTTTACACTAATGCTTCTTCAAGGTATGCTGATTTGTAATGTTCCTCATGTTTAACAAAGGGAGAAAAGGAGGTATCTATTTCCCAAACCACTGAACTCCAGGATTGGCAGGGAGAAAACTGGGGACAAATGGTGTGTAAAATCAAGGTTGTAGGTGACTACAGTGGTCACTTGACAACAGAGAGGATTATTTTGGCTGAGTGGCTCTTGCACAGTTCGAGTTACCAGTTAGCAGATTTGAGATGGTGAATTATGGAGTGTACAATTAGGAATCCTCTTTAAAAAGAGACCATGATTTAGCCTACAGCCTTATTTCTGGTGGTTGGTAATTCATCTTGACACATACATCTGCCAGATTAAACCGAGGCAGATCAGAATTTGCCCTTCAGTACTCCAGTTCTCCTGGATTTAACGTCAGAAGCAGAAGGCAGTCTCAAAAAATCAACAGTCCTGTGGAATAACATTGCATTATCTCATTCTTAGGATGGAATATTGAAAAAACTGTTTTGAATTGCATCTGTTTGATGATAGTCATAAATCAGTTGTCAAAAATATTTCCCCCCTTCTGTTTTTCAAGGGTATATTTGTAACCAGAGTGCAGCCAGATGGACCAGCATCTAAGCTGTTGCAGCCCGGGGATAAAATAATTCAGGTAGTGTAATCACCTGATTAACTCTCTTGTGTAACACACTAGTTCTTGTTTAGTTTGCACCTCACAGTAGAATGTTTAATTTTTAGATAGATTACCAGTGTCTTTTCCTGATTTGCTCTTATGTTCTCGGATGATGCTTTTAGTTTTCTTCCCCCTAGCACCAGGATAGGTGACACAGACTGAACACAGTGGATCATTTTTTCAAATTCTGAACATTTTTCTCATTCTAAGGACAAAGAATAAAGACAAAAGATGTAATCCAAAAGCAACATGAGCTTTCATTAGGCTTTGCTGTCACTCAGTGGTCACTCCCACGGAGGGTTCTGAACAGGGTGTTGGTGCACACCAGCAGTTGCCCTCACAGCTCTGCACTGCTGCACCTTGCTGTGAGGTCCCTCTGCGTGCTGCAGCTCTGACAGCCTCTGCTGCCTCTCCCCCACTGCCAGGCTGGAGGTGAGGAGTGTGGCAGGAACGGCCTGTGGGCCGCCGCGCCCAACAA